AGGAAAAAAAAACTAAAACAAAAACTTAAAACCAAAATCAGCTACAAAATGAGGGAGTCCGGCGCTGGGCTGCGGCTCCTGCCGTGGTGCGACGGGGCCGGGGGTCTCCCAGCAGCCCCCTGCAGGAGCAGAGCTTGGCGCCCGCGGGGCCGGGAGGGAATTCCAGGCAACGGCAGCAAAGACGCACTCAAATAAATATTTAAGAGGGGGGCGGGGCTGAGCCTGGCACAGTCCGCAGCCGCAGCGCCGCCCTCACGTCTGGTGCACCTCGTGGAACATGAGCTCCCGCGGGATGCGGGTCTCGGGCCCGAAGCTCTTGGCCGCCTGGCGCTCGAAGGCCGCCACCATCTGCTTGACGACCTCGTCGAAGAACACGGTGGCCAACTGGGAGTGCAGCAGGGAACGGAACTCGAAGGAGATCTGAGGAGGAGAGCGCCGTGAGCCGGGGAGGCGCTGGGCCGCATCCCACCGGGCATCAAGCTGGGCATCGGGGCTCACCGAAAAATCCACGGTGCAGGTGCGGGGGTAACCGGGGATGCCGGGGCTGAAACGCCAGTTTGTCTCCAGGTGGTTGAAGAGCCGCCCGTCCGAGCAGACGGCCTGCGGGGGAGCGGGAGATCAGGGCCGGGCGGCAGCGGGGCTGGGGCCGCGAGGGGCTGCGCTCACCTTGACGAGGTGCGGGCGGATGAGGGTGACGATGGAGGTGTAGCGCTCCAGGACGGGCGGGAATCCCACCTCCAGCTGCGCCTTGATGTGCCCCGTCCGCTTGGAGACCACCACCGACTTCTTGCACCAGGGCACGAAGGTTTTGTAGTCGTCCACGTTGGAGACCACGTCGTACATCTCCTGCATGGAGTACCTGCGCGCAGAGTGGCCGCTCAGAGGGGAACGCGGGCCCCGGCGTCGGCTGCGGGACCTAAACCTACCCAATGATGCGCCGCTCCGAGTACTCCTTGCGTTTGTTGGTTAAGGAGCCCGCGAGGTTGAGGAAGGAGCGGGCGGGCGCACGCTGCAGCTCCCACTCAGTGCTGACCGCCGGGCGGCCGAAGCCGAGGCCGCATGGTGCTGCAAATCTGCACAGGAGAGAGGTGTGGGCAGAGGAAGCGGTGCGGGGCCGCCCCACGGCTCTGCTGGGGATCCCCTCCTCAGCCCCCCCGGCTGGGAGTAACCACGGGGTGCGCTGGGGAGCTGCCCCATCCATCCCGCCCCGGGGCTGCGGGCAGCAGGGAGAGGCCAGGAAAGTCCGAGTGCAGCCGGTGCCAGCGCTGCTGTTGCATAAGAGGAGGAAGGCAGAGGGAAACCTGACCTCGGGGACACCTAATCCAGAGCGGCAGAGCGAGGACAACTGCCCGCGGCCCCTCCCCAGCTCCGCAGGGCCGGGGCAGCTCGGAGCCCAGCTGAGCCCCGACGTTCACCCTCTTCCACCTCCCACCTCGCTCAGGGCTGTGCAGGCAGTGCCGCCCCGCCGGGAGGGAAGCGGCGACGCTGCGCAGCCCTGGCGGTGCCGGGTCCCCACACGCAGCCCTGCAGCGGCGGGGTCCCATCAGCGCCCGCAGCCTCGCATCACCCAGATCCGACCTGCCTCACATCCGAGGCGACAGCGCGGCCGCGGGGGCTGCAGCCCGGCGGAGCCGTTTGTCACCGCCGTCCCCGCGGCAGCGCCGGCCGGACGCGCTCCATCGCCGTGGGAATTTTAACGGCTTTCCTCCGGGACCGGCGGCCGCGAGAGGAAAGGCCCCATTTCGGTACCCGCCAAAGAAGCCCCGGGGCGGCGACGGGCGGAGCTCCAGGACCGGCCGTGCCCCCGTCCCGGCGCGGAGCCGCTGGCTGCCGGCCACGTCCCGGGCGCAGAGGTCAGCCGGGACCGCCGGCGTCCCCGCACCGCTCCCGTTGTCCCGGGCGCGGCGACGGCCGCCGCCCCGCATCGCCCCCCGCCTCGTCCCGGCCGCCCCGCAGTGCGCGCCGTTCGCTCCCCGCGGAGCCGCGCCCCGCACCGGTGACCTCTGGGCCCGCGCCGAGGCCTTCCCGTCCCCGTTCCCGTCCGTCCCCGCGGTCTCCGCCCGGTCCCGCCGCTCACCTCCCAGGAGGCGCCGCCACTGCCCGTAGCCGCTGCCGCGCCCCGAACTGCAGGGCCCCGCGGAGCCGCCGGGCCGCCATGACCGGGGCCGGGACGCGGCTCCGCTGCCCTCAGCCCGGCGTCGCCGTGACCTTTCACCCCGCGCGTGACGTCACCGCGTCACCATAGAGCCCGCGCGCGTCACGGCCCGGGGGGCGGGGCCGGGCGGCGCCCTCGCGCGAGGCACGCCGGGAGCGGTAGGCCGCGCCGCGCGAGGCACGCCGGGACTTGTAGTTCCGCCCGGGTTCGCTCCTTTCCTCCCTTTCCCTCGGGCCGGGGCTCCGCCGCCCCTCCGTGCGGCATCGCCGCTGAGCGCTCAGGGCTCGTTTTTCTCGCTTCCCCGGTTCGGTCTCGTCGCAGCGAAGCAAAAGCCGCCCTCCGTGCAGCACCGGTGCGCACGGCCGGGGAAACGCGCGGAGCCGGGCTGTGCATCCCCGCACCGGGAGGCGCCGCCCACGTGGCGGTGTGAAGGCGTCGCTTCGCTTGGCGCCGTGCGGGGCCGCAGCGCTCGTGGCGCCCGCCGCCCCCGGCCGGTTCTACCGCGGAGCTCCCGGCTCGTCCCGGAGCCTCCGTAACGCGGCGCAACGCTCGGCCTCAGCCTCGGCCTCTCACTGGCCCGGAGGCGACGGGAGTTCCGCGATGGCAGCCCCGGCCCCCGGCGGGGAACCCAACCGGAGGCCAATGGGGCGCGGGACGGATGATGGGGAGCCGGCGGGGCCGCTCAGCCCGGGAGGGGGAAGCGAAGGAAGCGCCCCGAGCTCCGCGTCCGCGCCCGGCCGCGGCAGCTCCAGACCCCCACGTGCCGGGCGCCCCTCGGCGCCCCTTTCCCGGGCCGGGCCGCCCCGTCCCCGCCGACGCCTTCTCGCGCCCCGGCCCGATGGGGGCGACGACCCCCGCGGCCCGGCCCCGGCCCCGCCCCGCG